AGTGAAATAAGTCAATCACAGGACAAATACTGTATTAGTTCACTATTATAAAAAGTCAAGAGAAGGTTTATATGTGGAAGGAAACTTTCTTTGTTGTTACCAGAGATGGGAGGGAAGACAGGGAACATGGCTAAATAGGTAGAGACAAGTATTGATTTGGGTGAAGGGAAGGGCAATGTACTCAAATGTGAGTGATCCACATGGTGGCACTGAGGAAGAGGAAGACATAGAGAGGTACATGGGAGGTACAACAAAAAGATGAACCCTTTTGCACATACAGTACTGCATTGTCAGTGATGACAAACATTGATCCATGGGCAGATAGATGCATGGATAGGTTGAATGATCAGGTATGTCTAGGCAGAGGGAGTGTGCCCATGACCATTACAGGGTTAGCAGGCAATGTTTCTACATGCGTATTTGTGTGTGCTATAAGAATGTCCAGGTGTATAATAGAGCTGACAAGGGACAAGATTGTGGTGGCTTCTTGGCCACAGCCAGCTACCCTGAGGGAGCGAGTAGTTGGACCTGTGGGCTTAAGACCATGGTCGCAATTGGCATAACACACTACACAAAAACATTGTTCTAGATCCTACTTTGGTGAGTAGTGACTGGGATCTTAAAAGCTTGCAAGTGGCCATTTGGATGCAACAATGGGTCTCTCCTTGTCCACAGCAAAGAAGAATGAAGAAAACCAAAGACTCATGGAAAAAAATTAGTCCAATTAGGAACTAGTAAACCATCCAATCTCAGCCTATATGATCATGAGACCAGAAGAACTAGATGGTGCCTGGTTACTACTGTCAACCACTCAGAAAGGGATCAGTGCAGAAAAGGATCACTCCCAGATAGAGTGGGAGAACAATGTTGAACAAAACTCAAAATCACTGAAAAAAAAATAAATAAATAAAGGCCAGATTTGCTGGTCTGATAGAGCCTAGTGAGACCCCTGAGACTATGGCCCCTAGATACCCGTCAGCTTGGAACTGAACTCAGTCCTGTGGCTTCCAGCCAAATAACAGACTGACATATGGCTGAACATTTACATCAGGTAGATACACTCCTTGGAGTGATCAATCTAACAGAAGGGTAGTGCTTGCACAGGGAGATAGCTCAGAGGGCAGGAGTGCATGGCAGTGAAGGACACAGGGAAGAGGCAACTATTGGGAGGAAGTAGGAAGGGAGGCATTACATTGTGGGGAATTGCAGTCAGTGTCATGAGACAAAATGTGTATAAACTGCTGTATGGAAAATGAATTTGCTCTATAAATTTTCACCCAAATCACAATAAAAGTTAAAAAAAAAAAAAAAGTGGTAGAGGTTTAGGAGGCCATGGGACAGAAAAGGAAAAAATGCAGAGTAGGAAAAACAGAAATTAAAGTCAGTGTATTATGCTAGATATCCAAAAATATTCATTTTTGGAAATAGAAATCTGAGTGCTGGAGGGAGATTTCCAGAGTCAGGTAAATCAGAAAAGAGAGATCAGGGAATGTGATGAGATTTCCAGAACCATTTGCTTCCCTGTTTCATAATTTTGGTCATTGTCTGTTTCTTCACTGTGCTTAACATTTAGGCTTTGTATCCTTGGCTGAGAGTCAGCAAGGGGAGTTGGAGTGAGGAAACCACAGCTTAGGTAGGATCCAGTTTTCTAGAGAGAGTAGATTATGTACGTAGCTATGTATGTGGGTATGAATATAGACCTCGTCTTACTCTAGAAAGGATTTCAGGCAAAAAGATCTGGTACGAGTGAAGGGTTGTGTAAAGAGAGGGAAGATGGCTGAAATCCTGGTGCCTGGGTCACATAGAGGTGGTCAGGGCAAAGAATGGCCCAGGGAGGCTGAATGGCAGCAGACTGTGTGCCCTTTGAGGCAGGAACTTGCAGGCCCAGGACCTGGTTGAAGAAGGTACTCAGTAGATGATGGCTGAGCTAAGACAAGGATTCAGGGTTTATGGGTTCTCAGACCAGAGAAGACAATACTGGGACACCAGAGACTCTTAACAGCTCAGATTCTTGGCTGCCCCAGTGACTATTTCCCCATTTCAGGTGGCTGGCTGCAAGTGTGATGGGGACACCTTTGGTCACTACTGTGAACGCTCCAGAGACCCCTGTGAGCAATGCTTCCCGAATGTAAACTGCACTCCAGAGAAGGGTTGCGAGGCCTGCCCTCCACACATGACTGGGGATGGGCGTCACTGTGCAGGTGAGCTGTGCCCAGGGCCCTACAAGGATGAAGGTCTGCAGATAGTGGCACCTCAAGGGCCCAGGACAGCCAAACGCAAACCTTTCCCCAGCAAGTCTTTAAACTATTCAATATAGGTGGGTGGGTAAGGAGGGCTTGGAAAGCGGTGGTGAATGATATGGGGCTGAGGGAGAAGAAATTATACAGTCATGGGGGAGGGGCCAGGGCAGAGCCACCCTGAGGTGTTGATAAGGAAAACCCAGTGCAGAAAGCTGAAGAGAACCAGGAGAAGTAGGAGGGCAGGGCCCTCTTGCAGCCATTGAACCAGAGGCAAGCTGGAGCCTCCAGTGTATCAAGACTCCACATCTCAGATTGCCATGGGGTTTCCCTTTGACTCCTTCTCCCAGCCTCTCACTTCTGAGCCTCTGGAAGCCTGATGAAGAGGCCTCCACTAAACCTTCCCAGATGCCCAAATAAAATCTAAAGACTGCTGTGTCTTCTAAGCAGAGTCCAGAATGAGTCAAATCACAATTTATCAAGGAGGAGAAGGAGATGGAAGTGAGAGAGTGAGGAAAAAAAGCTGGCAAGTCCTTTTCCCACCAGCCTTCTGGGCCCTCCTGATGTAAATAATCACTTCACTCCCCTGTGCAGACTGGGCTAAAACCTACCTGGCAGAGGAAAAAGGACTCCCAGGCAGAGAAATGCCTGGAGAAAGAGAGAAGGATAATTTGGGGTTCAGAGTGGGCCACAAGCAGAATCCAGATTGAGTGGGTATTCGGGAAAGATGCCAAGTCTTTCAAGGGAGCAGGTTTCCATGGGCTGGGGGCCCCACCCCTGCTGCTGCCATGGTGTTGCTGACCTCCATACTCCCTCCGCAGTTCTAGAGAACTTGTTCCTCTGTCAGAACAAGTCCTGCCCTGTAAATTACTGCTACAACCATGGCCACTGCTACATCTCCCAGACTCCAGACTGCCAGCCCACCTGCACATGCCCCCCAGCCTTCACTGACACCCGTTGCTTCCTGGCTGGGAACAATTTCACCCCCTCCATCAGTCCAGGTAAAATCAGTTGCCCCACCATCTCCACCTCCACACTTCTCTTGCCTTTGGGGAAAATGGGGAAACTTATGGGTCCAGAGCTAAGTTCCTCAAACTCACAGGGCAGAATTCTGAATTCCTTGTAATCCAACAGCTGTTGAGTCAATTCCAACTCATGGTGATCTCATGTATGTCAGAGTAGTACTATGCTCCATAGAACTTTCAATGGCCGATTTTTCAGAAATAGATCACCATGCCTTTCTTCTGAGGCACCTCTAGGTAAATGCAAACCTCCAGTTAGCAGTCAAGTATGTTAACTATTTGCACTACCAGTGGTAAACTGTAAGCTTTGTGAGCTGGTGATAACAGCTGTCACAGCATAAACCACTGGCTGTCCAGTTTGCTGAGGAAAAATTGAAGGACATCTTGCCTCTCAGAAAGATGAAAGTCATTGTACAATGAGCACTAGGGGAAGAGTCAGGAGGCTTGGCCACTTCTCCTGATTCCTCCAGTGACCTGCTATAGAATGGGGTGGTCTCCCTGGGCTGCACTCCTTGGGTAAGGCTGAGAAAAAAACATGATGTGATTTTGAATTTGCTTCTTTCATCTCCAGAGCTTCCCTTAAGAACCATCCTGCTCTTGCTCAGTGAAGAAGAAAATGCCTCCATTGCAGAGGTCAACGCCTCGGTCAGTGCTGTAGGCCAGGCTAGGCAGAGGAGGCAGATCTTGGTGGGTTCAGGGCTAAGACTGAGCCATCACTGTGTCCTGCATCATCCATCTAGATTCATCCATCTAGCCTCTTGTCCCAGGGGATGCTGGTGGAGGAGGGGGTCAAGAAGCCTTAGGACAGGAATCTCAGAAGGGGTTGGAATGACCAATTCACCATGAGCAGAGTCAAGGGTGGTGAAGGCACTCCAGCCCCTACCTCTGAGGGTCCTTCAAGACTTGCATTTCTTAGTATTATATGGAAGAAACATGAGGGAGGTGTATTACCTCCAGGAAGCTTTCCCTGACTTCTCAGAGAGAAATGGTGGCTCCCTCTCCTAGGTTCCCTTGTCCTTGTCCACATCTCAGTCATAAGCAATGAAGCACAGTTGTTGAAGGTATGAGTTCTAGAATCCTACACGTCAACATTCAAATCCTTGCTGTACCACTTACTAGAGGTGACCTTAGACAAATTATTTAATGTCTCATCTGTAAAAACAGGGCTGATTTAAAAAAAACAACTCACTGCCATTGAGTCGATTCAACTCATAGTGACCCCTCTTTGTGTTTCCAAGGTAGTATCTCCATGGAAGTAGATTGTTCAACCTTCCTTCCAAGGAGTGTCTGGTGGGTTTGAACTGCCAGGCTTCTGGTTAGCAGTCAAATACCTTAGGCACTATGCCACAAATAGTACCTATGTTAATGGGTTGTGTCAAAGTTTAAATGATAATATATGTAAAGCATTTATCATGGTGCCAGGAACACAATAAGTATTCAAAATAATAATTATTATTATACATTACTATTATATTTTATAGGAGCTCTGGTAGCGTAGTGCCTAAGGCACTTGACTGCTAACCAGAAGGCTGGCGGTTCAAACCCACCAGACACTCCTCGGAAGGAAAATGGGGCGATCTACTTCCGTAGTGATACTGCCTCAGAAACCCAAGAAGGGGTCGCTATGAGTCAGGGCCGACTCAACGGCACATAACAACAACAACAACATTATATTTTATAATAATAGTATCATTATGACTATAAAGTTACCTCTGAGATATTGTGGGGTCGTTTCCAGCCCACCATAATAAAGTGAATATGAAAATAAAGTGAGTCCCATGAAGTTTTTGGTTTCCTAGTGCATATAAAATTATGTTTGCACAGCTGTAGTCTATTAAATATGCAATAATATTATGAAAAATTTCCAAAATTGTGAGAATTAACAAAATGTGACCCAGAGACATAAAGTGAGCATGTGATTTTGGAAAAATGGTGCTGACAGATGTGTTTGATTCAGGGTTGCCACAAATCTTCAACTTGTAAAAGATGCTCTATCTGCAGAGCACAGTAAAGCGAAGTAAAATGAGGCACGTCTCTACTCCTATAGCACTCCACACTCTGTATGGTAATAATCTGTTGACATTCATTTACTTCCTAAGACATCTTGACATCCCCAACATTTGATTACCCCTTATACCTGGCTAAACATAACAGATGTTTAATAAACATGGTGAGAGAAAGAGTAGGTATAAGGGATCTTGGATAAGGTAGAGGCCATTCATTTCAGGTTCTCCCCTCACAATAGGAGGCAACTAGGGAGAAAAGGACCTGAAGGCCTTCACTCACCAACATATATTTATTAAGCAGGAAGCCATGCCAGCCATGGGGTTAGGCTACTGTGTAGGGATGCCGAGATGGATGGGAGAGGTTCTGGGAATCTGGGGCTCACACTCAAAGAAGAAAACAGACAGGGATGAATAAATGTATTAAAGTGGGAAGGAGTCTCAGCAGTAGTTGGAATGACCCATCCCCACCACCTGCATCACCTCCATTTCCCATTTTTCACCCTAGGTGGCGTACAGACTGGGGACACTGGATGTGCGGGCCTTTTTCAGGAATAGTCTGGTGGAACAAAGGTAGGTGGGATTGTTGCTACCTGGGCCCCTGGTCTTCCCCTTATCCACCCTTACCATTAACCCTTCACTCTCTCCTTCCCGCACAGTAATTCCACAACCTCAGCCTCCGGAAACTCCCTTCACCACTGGAGGGTCATCTCTGAGTTCCAGTACCGCCCTGGGGGCCCTGTCATTGACTTCCTGAACAACCGGCTGCTGGACGCTGTAGTGCAGGCCTTCTTACCCCAGGCCTTCCAGAGGAGGTCGAGGAGGAGTGAGGAGCCCAGGCACAACGTGATCTTCCATCCCATCTCCAGAGAAGATGTGCACAACCTGAAGAATCGTGAGTACAGGGGTACAGAGACAACTAGAAGGTGCTGGGCGCACGAGGGATACTCACAGATCATCAGCCCACACAAACCAGTGCAGAGAAGCATTCTAGTGAGGTACACACACAGGTATGAAATTACTTTAGTTATTGTTTAACTTTTGAGAGAAATTTTAAACATTTTACCCACCAGCTTTTTAGATTCAAGAACAGGAGCACAAAATGCTGCTTGATGAATCCACATGAAGCCAGTCTCATAGAGCAATTATTCCAACTGAAGCCTTCCTAACTATCACTGCCAATGGTTTTCTTCTTTTAATAAATTACTAATGTTTTTCTTATTATTTTAAAAATATTTTTGCAGTGTTTCCTTCCCTCCCCTCCCACCCCTGCTAACCAATAAAGAAAGTTTCCTTCCATATATAAACCTTTCCTTGACTTTTTTCAAGACTGGGCATTCTACTTACATAAAGATTTACTGCCTTGGAAACCCAAAGAGGGTCACTATGAGTCAGAATCAATTCGATGACACTGAGTTTGGTTGTTTTGTTTTGTTGACTTTTTACAATAATGAACTAATACAATATTTGTTCTTCTGTGACTGACTAATTTCACTCAGTATAATGTCCTCCAAGTTCATCCATGTTATGCAGTGTTTTGCAGATTCTACATTATTCTTAAGTGTTGCATAGTATTCCATTGTGTATATATACCATAGTTTGCTTATCCATTCTTCTGTTGATGGGCATCTAGGTTGCTTCCATCTTTTGGCTATTGCAAATAGTGCTGTGATTAACATGGGTATGCATATATCTGTTCTTGTCCTGGCTCTCACTTCTTTAGGACATATACCTAGTAATGGGATTGCTGGATCAAATGGTATTTCTAATTCCAGCTTTTTAAGGAATTGCCATACTGTTTTCCACAGTGTTTGTATCATTTGACAGCTCCACCAGCAGTGTATTAGAGTCCCAATCTCTTCATATCCTCACCAGCATTTGTTCTTTTCTGTCTTGTTGAACTTTGCTATTAGTGCTAAGGCAAGATGGTACCTCATTGTTGTTTTGATTTGCATCTCTATAATGACTAAAGATCAAGAACGTTTCTTCATGAGTTTTTTGGCTGCCTGATACCCTCTTTGATGAAGTGTCTCTTCACATCTTCTGCCCATTTTTAAACTAGATTGTCTTTTTGTTGTTGAGCTGCTGGAGTTTTCTATAAATTTTAGAGATAAGTCCCTTTTCAGGTATGTCATTGTCAAATATTGTTTCCTGATCTGTAGGTTCTCTTTTGACTCTTTTGGAGAAGTCTTTAGAAGCACATGAAAATTTTAATTTTCAGAAGGTCCCATTCATCTAGTTTATCTTCTGCTGTTTGTGCACTTTGGGTTATGCTTGACAGTCTATTTATGCCATAAATTAGGGCCCCTAAATTTTCTGCTATTTTTTCCTTGGGGAATTTTATAGTTTTAGGTTTCACATTTAAGTCTTTGATCCATCTGGAGTTAGTTTTTGTGTATGGTATGAGGTATGGATCTTTTTTCATTTTTCTGCAAATGAATATCCAGTTTTGCCAGCACCATTTGTTAAAGAGACTATCTCTTCCCCCATGTAATGGATTTCAGCCCTTTGTCAAAAATTAGCTGACTATAGGTGGATGGATCTATTTCTGGGTTCTCAATTCTGTTCCACTGGTCTATATGTCTGTCATTGTATCAATACCAGGCTGTTTTGACTACTATGGCTGTATACTAGGTTTTGAGATCTGGGAGTGTGAGACCTCCTACTTTGTTCTTCTTCTTCAATAGTGCTTTGCTTATCTGAGGTCTCTTTCCTTTCCATATAAAATTAGTGATGGTTTTCTCCATATCCTTAAAGAATGTTGATGGGATCTGGATTGGGACTACATTGAATGTATAGATTGCTTTTCAAAATGTTCAGTCTTCCTATTCACAAGCATGGGATATTCTTCCATTTACGTAGATCTTTTATGGTTTCTTGAAGTAGTGTTTTGTAGTTTTCTTTGTACAGGTCTTTTGTGTCCCTAGTGAGATTTATTCCCAAGTATTTTATATTTTTGGTAGCTATTGTAAATGGTATTGATTTCCTTATTTCCTTTTCAGCAATCTTTGCTGGTGTAGAGGCATCCAACTGATTTTTGGATGTTGATCTTATATCTTGCCATGATGCTAAATCTCTCAATTAGTTCCAGTAATTTCTTTGCTGAGTCTCTTGGGTTTTCTATGTATGGAACCATATCATCAGCAAATAGGGATAGTTTTACTTCTTCTTTACCAATTTGGATGCCTTTGACTTCCCTTTCTTGCTTTATTGCCCTGGCTAGCACTTCCAACACAATGTTGAATAGAAGCGGTGACAGAGGGCATTCTTGTCTGGTTGCTGTTCACAAGGGGAATGGTATCAGTCTCTTTCCATTGAGAATAATGTTGGCTGTTGGTTTTCCATAGATGCCCTTTATTATGTTGAGGAATGTCCCTTCTATTCCTATTTTTCTGAGAGTTTTAATCAGGAATAGGTGTTGGATTTTATCAAATGCCTTTTCTGCATCTATTGATATGATCATATGGTTCTTTTCCTTTGTTTTATTTATGTGATGGATGATGTTATTTTTTTTTTTCCTAATGTTGAACTATACTTGCATACCTGGTCATAATGTATTATTGGTCATAATGTATTGGTTATACTGTATTATTTTTTGCATATGTTGTTAGAGTCTATTGGCTAGGATTTTGTTGAAGATTTTTGCATCTATATTCATGAGGGATATTGGTGTGTAGTTTTCCTTTTGAGTGATGTCTTTGGTTTTGGTATCAAGGTTATGGCTTGCTTCATAAAATGAATTTGGGAGGATTCCATCCTTTTCTATGTTTTGGAATAGTTTGGGTAGGATCAGTAGCAGTTCTTCTCTGAATGTTTGGTAGAATTCTCCAGTGAAACCATCTGGGCCAGGGCTTTTGTTGTTGGTAATTTTTTTTATCATCCATTCAATTTCTTCTTTTGTTATGGGTCTGATCGACTTTTCTACCTCAGTCTGTGTTAGTTTAGGTAAACAGTGTGTTTCTAGAAATCTGTCCATTTTTTCTAGATTTTCAAATTTGTCAGAGTACAGTTCTTCATAATATCCTGATATTATCCTTTTTATTTCAGTTGGTTCTATTGTGATGTCACCCATTTCATTTCTCATTCATGTTATTTGTATTCTCTTCCTTTTTTCCTTTGTTAAATTTGCCAGTGGCTTGTCAATTTTATTAATCTTTTCAACAAACCAACTTCTAGTCTTCTTGATTTTTTCTATTGTCTTTCTATTTTCTGTTTCATTGATTTCTCCTCAAATCTTTATTATTTCTTTTCTTCTAGTGACTGTAGGCTTTTTTGCTGCTCATTTTTTAATTTTTGGAGATGTTGGGTTAAGGTGTTAATTTTAGCTCTTCTTTTTTGATGTGTGCATTTATTGCCATAAATTGGCCTCTGACAGCTGCTTTTGCTGTGTCCCAAAGATTTTGGTATGTTGTGTTTTCATTCTCATTTGATTCAAGGAATTTTTTATTTTTTCTATTACCCAGTCGTTTTCAGGGAGGGTGTTATTCAGTTTCCATATGTTTGCTCTTTTTCCATTGATCTTGTTATTGTTGATTTCTAATTTTATAGCATTGTGATCTGAGAAGATGCTTTGCAGTATTTCAATGTTTTTAAATTTATTAAGGTTTGCTTTATGGCCTAATCTGTGGTCTATCCTGGAGAATGTTCCATGTGTACTGGAAAAGAATATAGATTGTGTTGTTGTTGGATGAAGTGCTCTAAAGATGTCTATAAGGTCAAGTTGGTGAATTGTATTGTTTAGTTCTTCTGTGTCTTTGTTCAATTTTTTGCCAGTTGTTCTATCTTTCATTGAAAGTGGTATATTATAATCCCCTACTATGACTGTGGAGTCATCTATTTGTCTTTTCAAATCTGTTAAAGTCTGATTTATGTATTTTGGGCCTCTTTCATTGGGTCCATAGATATTATGGTTATGTCCTCTTTTTCAATCAATCCTTTAATCATTATATAATGTCCTTCCTTGTCTCTTATGATGGCTTTTGTCTTAAAGTCTATTTTATCAGAAATTAATATTGCTACTCCTGTTCTTTTATGCTTGCCATTTGCTTGATGTATCTTTTTCCAACCTTTGATTTTTAGTCTATTTGTGTCTTTGTGTCTAAGGTGTGTCTCTTGTAGATAGCATATTGATAGGTGCTTGAACAACTTCTCTTAGAAAGATCAGCACGAGGCTGGTCCCCATGAGGCGGAGGTCAAAGATGTCCCAAATGTCCAAACTACCATGCCA